GGTGCCCTGAGCGACCTGCTAAACTCACCTGGTCACCCCAGAGCCTCCCAGCAGCTCCGGGGCCCCTTCCTGGGAGGACACAGCCACATGGTCGGGTGTCAGGTTCTCACGGCCTGATTGCCGAGCCCCTGGGTCCTGTTGCCTCCAGCCCTGTGCCCTAGGGGCAGGCTGTGCACCTCACCAGGGAACCGGGGTACCTCCCGCTGAAGCTGGCCAGGCCCATCACTGTGGGGAAGGTGCCGGCCCTGGCACTGCACTCAGAGAGGACCGTCAGGTGCAGAGGTGGCTGTAAGCACCTGAGGGGGCCCCGCTCTTGGCAGCAGGCAGGTGGGGTGCGGGGCCTGGGGCAGGAGTGTGCTTGGTGCTGTCAGCAGCACGAGGACGGGGCCTGGAGCCTGGCCCACGAGGGGACTGAGAGTATCAGAGGAACCAGTGATCCTGCCTCGTCTCTGGGATCAGCCTGTTTGTTTTTAAACTATTTTCAAACATGTAAAAGTAGAGAGAGACTGTCAGAGTGACAGTGATGTAGTATATTGTTTGGGTTGTGTGTGGCACATATATAGCGGTTTTAGTGTAGCTTCCAGTTACCAACAACTGGTCCTTCATAAAGTCTATGGTCGGCTTCCCGTGTACCCCCTCTTTCTGCTGAAATACCTTAAGGCAGGTGGCGTGTTTGACCTGAGACACGGAGGCAGCTAGTTTTGGGGTCTGTGCTGTGCGTTGTTAGATGTTGAGCTCACTCCCAGGCCTCCACCTACCAGATCCTGGGAGCACTACACACCTCCAGACACTCACGTAGCCTGGGGACATATTCGCCCTGGCTGAGAACTGCCTGACAGAACTTCTTAAACCTTTTAACGACACTGCAATACCGTTACTAACAAAACCATCCTTAGTACCTACCCGGTCTGCTCAGGTTTTCCTTAGGGTCTCACACATGTCTCCTCCAGTTGGTTCCTTTCAGGGTACAAACCAGGAATCATGCAACTTGGTTTTAAACTTGCTTACAGTTGAGTTCTGCATCCCCCCTGCCGCCTTTGCAAGCCGTTTTCATTGCTGAGGCAGTAGGGGCATTCCAGAACCCACGTAGCCCCCCTCGGCTCCTGTAAACTGGTGGTTCAAGCAAGTAGGCACCTGAATAAATCAAAGTTCCACTTTTTCTTCTGTGTCAACCCAGGTTTGAAGCGTAGTTTCTGAGCTTCCCTTACTTCATCCATTGTCTGGGGAGAGCATGGCCCTTGGGTGACTGGGGTCCATCTGGTACAGAGATCACACATGTGACCTCTCCCCCTGGAGGCTGCCCCGCCTCTGCACACCTGTGCTCCCTGCTCTCCTGCTCTTTGACCCCGGGTTCTGGAGGGCATGTGGGTAATGCCCCCCCCACCTGCAGTGAGCCCCGGGTTTGGGTGGTGTTGGCTGATGGCCGAGTAGCCAGCTAGCGTCTACAGGGACCCGGCCTCTCCCCTGCCTCTCTCCTGCAGATCTTCGTGGAGTTCACCTCTGTGTTTGACTGCCAGAAAGCCGTGAAGGGCCTGACAGGTCGCAAGTTCGCCAACAGAGTGGTTGTCGTAACCACCGCCGGGACTTCATAGACAACGGGCAGAGGAGTGACAGCTGAATGACAGGAGGCAGCAACTGGAATGGCAGCAATTAAGGGTGGGGGAGGGGGGGCGGGGTGGATGGAAAGTGTGCACACGGCCCACACACACCACCACAGACATAGAGGGAAGGGGTCTGG